TATATATATATATATATAAACCCTAGAAGAATGAATGTTGAAGGCAAACAACATAATGTAATGTTCTTTGTTGAAGATGATGAAAATAGCAATACCCTTTTTTAAAATCATATACTGCATGCATGTTTATTGTAGCCTAGAAAGATGTACAATTAAATAGACATAAGAAAATTTTAAAATGTTTTAAAAAGAGAAAATTATTGTGAATGATGTTGAATGCTAGTTAAATTTAATATATAAGAGAAACAAAATGTTTCTTTTAATGAAGTAGAAATTCCTTGTGATCAAAGAGTGTAAGTGCCATGGAATCATCAGGGTAGGAGCCAGATAGATGGTAAGGGGCCAACTGGCAAGAATAAAATTAAATGCAGATATGCTTTGTTTTCCCAATTTAAGCATTTTACTTTCTTTTGAGGTGTTTATAGGTTCAGCAATTTGTTAAAATATTTTTCTTGTTTGTTTCTTTAAATGGACACATAAACTTCCCTTCTGGAACTGAAAAATATTTGGGAGTTTCTATCTTGTGGCAGAAGGGTTACTTGCATAAGTTCAATGATGCTTGTTGCATTGAATCAGAGATTGTGAATACTCATTATTGAACAGGGCTTTGACTCGAATGTTATGCCTGAAGATTGATCAGAAAACTATGGAACTAAGGTGTATCTCAAGTAAGTCAACAGAAGCTCTTAGAAAGATGGCCTGGCACAATAATTAGTTCTGCCTGGCAGAGAGAATTAGAGAAGATATATGAAAGAATTCATACCATAAAATAACCTGGACTTTTCTAGTCCAGCATTGTAATCAGTAGAGATTGAAAAAGAGCAACCATACCAGAGGATTATATCGAGAAAGACTTTGAAGGAAGAAAAAGAGACTGATCTTTGCTAGCAGATGGTATATCACAGAATATTTGGTAGGCAGAGCTGAATTAAGGAAGTTTATGTGTGACTTGTGTGCTGGGCATTTGGTTTTCAACAGTTTGAGTAGCTGACGTGTAAATATTTTTGCAAAAGTATTTAAAACCATACTGTCTCTGTTGTTACAGAGTCACAAACAAAATTATATGAAATATTTTTAACATTGACTTTAAAATTCAGTATTTTTAAATTTTTTAAGAGGTTTTTGCTATAGGGCGAGTGCGTTCGCCAGACAGACAGAGAGAGACAGAGAGACAGAAAGCGAGAAATCACCCCCCCAGGGAGGATGGCCACGTCGCAATCCCTTCACCTCCGTTCTCCTCTCAGGATCTTGGGCATGCATGCACACACACCCGGCATGAGTTTTAAGTCACTGGGTCCGGGATGTGAACCACGGTGGACTACATGGGAATCCAATGACATAGTCATTACGCTAACTGCTGGTCCCAGTATTTTGAAATTTTGAAAGTTGTCTATTAACTATCAAGAACTATGGAGTATGAACAAAAATTTTTTGATATGTAAAGTAAATGTTTGTGAAAAATGTAAAAATAAGTAAACAAATGAAAAAAAGAAAAAAATTAAATGTAGATACATTTCTAGAACTTCTTTTTAGAGATGATAGAAAGTGAAAACAGAAGGTATGTTGGAATTAGAGGTCAAATGAGTTAAAAATACAGATAATTTTAGGCTGATGGAAGGGATACTAATAAGAAACTGTTAACGGATGGGAGAGTGTTGAGCTGCGTTGTGAAATCCTTGGTTCTTTGGGTCCAGATCACTAAACTTAGAGATCTTTCCCT